AGTGATTCATATCCAACAAGGTATTCTCATTATTATGTTTTTGCGCTACCTCTTGCCTTTTATGCTTCCTCCTACGATACTTTTGAACATGTCATTCATCCCTTAAAATTTTAGAAATATCCTCCAAAGGAGTATCAGAGAGGGCATCAGAATGATGAGAATATAGAGAGATGAGAATATAGATCAAAGCATCAGGGAGAGAGGCCGAAGAAGGATGAGCTTCCTCAGAAATAGAAATGATAGGGCTTCCTGCTTCCTCAGAAATAGAAATGATAGGAGGATCCGGAATAGGTAACACCTGCTTAGTTCTCCCAACTGGGTAAGTAGCAATAGAGGTAATAGGATATTGATTATTATCAGTATTCAAAGCATCAGCATTCGACGTATTAGGCGGGGGAGCAGGTGTGACTTGCACGGCACGCCCACTCTGCTGTCCCTCGATCTGAGCCGAAGGGGTATCAGTTGGTTGGGGGACGGCAGCCATGGCATCTGCCGAAGGAATCACCGCATGTTCCACAGGGAGCAAAGGCGTTTGCTCTATGTGTGATTGTTTCAAATTTTCCCATTTCCTCAATTCCGGATGTAGTTTAAAACATAGGTCCTGACCATGGCCGAACATTCGATAGTGAGTGCAATAAGAAGGGTGTTGTTCTAACAAAATCTGCTGCCAGTATCCATTATGAGCCGAACCAATCCAGACCTCATCAGGTGGGGGTAAAGTAACATCCTGTTCGATTAAACTCTAGCCATAGCCGGTCTTGTGACATTATAGGTAGGAGCATCTAATTTTAGAGGTCTCCCGAACTTAGCAGCCAAGGAGAACAGGATTTCATGGTTAAAGAGATGAACTTTCAAACCTGGGAACCGAAGCCAAACAGGGATAATCGGAGCCTCAGCTTTGGGATCAAAATTAGCTGACCATTTCAATACCTTCATACCGCAATCCTCAAACCATACCATACGCCTAACAAACAGATGCGTATAGTCCTCCTCATTGGACAACTGAATCAAAATTTTTCTTCCATCCAGAAACCCTATCTTCCATTCTCCGGTGAGCTTCATCAGCTCGAAATGCCTTCGAAGGAACTCCAATTTAGGATAACAATACATAAATTTTCCTACCAGATGAAGGCGGCAGGAAGAGGCGAGTTTGTCGTTCTCGTCATCAGAGAGGAAGAGGGCCAGCTTACCCCCTTTCCTGCCAGGACGTCTAACGAAGGAAGTTTCAGAGCCGAGTGCGAGTGAGTCGTAGTATGCAGAAGGGAAGTTTGGAAAGCCATATGCGGTTACGCTGACTTTATCGAATGACTACAATCAGTTGAAAGGATCTTTAAGTACATAGAGTTGTCAGAAGATAAAAGGGTGGAGCTAGCAGCTATCAAATTGAGAAAGAGCTCCTCCTTGTGGTGGGAAGACATGCAGAGGCAGAGGAAGAGAGAAGTTGGTGATAAGTGTATTAAGTGGGAGAAGATGAGGAAAGCGATGCAGAGAAAGTACATACCTCCTCGTTACTGTCAAGATATATTTCTGAGACTCCATCACCTACAACAGAGGGATCTATCAGTGGAGGATTTTGCAACACATTTTGACCAGTTATAGAGGAAGTGTGAGTTGGTCAAACCAGATGAACATTCCATAGTCCAACAGCTGGGTGGTCTGAAACATGCTATCAGCAACTTTGTGTAGCTGCAGCCCTAATGGACACAAGGAGTTATCCAGACTATAATTCTGAAGGTAGAGAGGCAGCAAAAATAGAGTAGACAACCACCACCAGTCAGGCAACTATTTTTAGTGGGAGATATCAACAAAAGCTCGTCTCTGGGAGTTGGGAAAATTAGTTCAGATAAGGACAGAGCCTCTCCGAGTGAGAAGCCTGAGAAGTGTAGCACGCGTACTACAGTCCCTGTCAGAAAATGCTTCAGATGTCATGGATTTGGGAAATCACATCGAACTTCCCGACGAACCGAGTTGTCTTTTAGCTAGCAGGGCACAATGTAGGATGTTAATGACGAGAAGGCAGCTGAAGAACCGAGTGATGTACACATCTTCCACTGGATGAGGGTGAGATGCCCATGGCCCGACAGGTCCTACAGACTGATGATGTGAGGGATCTGCAGTGGGGCTACACCACAATATATTCTACACCCGTTACACCATAAACAAGAAAGTATGTAGTCTCATCATCGATAGAAGAAGCAATAAGAACATGATGTTTATGCATATGTAGAAATTGGGTCTAATGAATTAGGGGCATTCTCAGTCACATTCTCTAACGTAGTTGAAGAAGAACATGGTCAGCATTAATCATAGGTGTGTAGCAGATTTTTCAATTAGGAATGAGCTACAGGATCAGGTGTGGTATGACGGTTTACCCATGGATGTCTGTCACATTTTGTTCGGGAGACCATGACAATTTCATCATAGGACACAACACGATGGATTCAAAAACACCTATTCCTTCACCAAGAATGGGAAGTGCACCGTCATCTCCCTTTTTTGGAGTCTGAGATCATGGGTGCCCTTGTCATTAGAGCAGCATCGGTGGGATCAGTTTTGGTGACGATGAAGGATGATAGGACTGAGACACCGATTTCGGACATGAGGCAGTCACGACAAAGAATATTTCAGGACATCATGATCGATATCTTACCGCCATGTCCACAACCATTCAAATAGGTTCAGGTTACCCTTACTTTAGATCTGGTTGATTCGAACATGAGTTACTTTGGGAGGATCCAACAGTATATCTGTGACATGTCGGCCCAATCCAGATCAGTAGTGAGCTCTTACAAGATTGGACCAATATGTATGCTTGCTTGCAAGTGGGGAGACTTTCAGGTGCCTTGGGGGGACAATTTAGTCGCTAGTGAGATTCAAGTTCTTCTCGGACCACAGTCGAAGTGCCTCAGCCCCAGGAGGTTACTACAGATCCCATCATCGACAACAGCAGACAAGAGTTTCGATCAATGAGATCGAAGCTCCACCAACCCCGAGAGACTGACGCGAGGCTCCCTAGGGGGCTGAATCGGTTTAGCCAAGAGGAGAGCAGGGCCGACCAGGGGCATCTCCCTCCTAGTTATCTGCTATATATATATTTCAAAGGAAATCGGTATTTTGGGTTGGTGTCCCCCAAATACCGATTTTCCAAAGGTCAGTTGGGATTCGAAGCCGGGGTAGAGGGGACTTACGCTGAAGTTGTCATCCAACAAGCCACGGTTGCACGCACGCACGCACACACACACGCATATATATTTTTGCGTGCGTGTGCAGGCGCAACTGCGCGCCTTTTTTCTCTTCTAGGGCTATATCCGACGACGAGAAGGTGATGTTGTTGTAACTCATCCGAGTGATGTGTGTCTTTCCTTTACTGCTTGTTTTCGCCTTCACATATCCCTCACTGCAGCTACTGTGACCCCCTCACAACCTATTGCCTGTTGCGGGCAACCCCCAACAACTTATTGCAGGTTACTGTAATACCTTCCTTCTTGTTTATTGCTGCTAGACTCCCTCCCCCCAACCGGTGCATACTGCTGCCAACACCTTTCCCTCTCCGTACAGCCCAGCCACACCTCTCTCCACCACGCAGTTCCAAAAATTAACTAAAGATGGACTTATGCGAATTTGGGTGACTTGTTAATGAGCACGAACAGGAGTGCCTTGCCTCTGTCATATAGTAGAAAGATAAAATTGTACAATAATGACATCTTTGAAGCCCCTACTTATAGGCATAGATCTCTCCTCTATGGGACTCGCTTGAATATGGGCATGAATAAAATACAAAACATGAGAGTATTATTTTAAATAGTTGTCAAAACTTCACGATCTTATGCTTGTGCATGTGAAGGAGCCCATAAACGAGCAAAAAATAAATTTAGTGTCACTCCAAAAACCATTTATGTTACTCTGAAAAGTATTGTGCATAATGCCAAAATACAGTCAATGACCAAAATATGTGTAAATGTAAAGAGGGGCTAATCTTTTGAGGGAAATTTGACTAGATCTAAGACACACCAAAAGTGTGGCATACATTGACTGCATGCTGGTAATTTGAAAAATGTGCTTAGGGGCTAAAAGAATATCATGTGCGTCCTCATGAAAATATTGTTTCTTGCAAGCATGCAAAAAAAATAGAACCATAATTGGGTCACTCTGAAAAAGCTGCATTTGAATCGAAAAGTATGCCAACTTTTTTTTTGGCTCAAAATTTCTTATTGTCACATGTATGCATGCATGATCGAGAGAGTCAGAATTTTGAGGAATGCTTTTCATACATTGATATATTTTTCAGTAAAAATGAATACAAGTGTCTTATATTCTTGTTTGAAAAAGTGAAAATAGTCCGTTAAAATTTTCTTCTAAATCCTTGATCTAATTATACTCTTATTGGTTCCATAAATCTTATATAATTCCACTTCCCAATCATATAGTACAAAATGAGGTTCTTTTGTGAGTTTTATGTTACAATACCTTTTAAAATGAAACAATTGATGTTTGAACCTAGGATCTCCAATTGAGGGTAGCATCCATAATTTGATTGCTTATGAATTGTTCACTAACATAAATATTGTAGTTGAGGCTTCTTAATTAAGCTTGATTAGATGAATATGATGGAGGTTTATTTGATATTATGCTTCTCTTTGTCTTGGAGCTAGTTAGAACTTCTCTGAGAGAGGGTTCCTTTTCTCTTATGTAAAAGATCAAATTCTTTTGTTAATGTTGATTTATTGCATTATTTGATCATGTTTACCTATTGTATAGAGTTTTACATTGGTTGATTTACTCTACGGATTTTGTGATGACTTTCAGCCCCCATTTTATTTTATTCATGCATATAAATAGATTCAAACCTGACGCTGCTTGAGAAAAAATAAGGGAAAGAACACATACATACATACATATATACATAAAAATTCATAGTTATCGATGGATGATTTGTTGGTTGGTTGAAAGAAAATATACAGCAATTCATTTGTTAAACTATTGTTGGTTTCTGTCATTAGGTCATGGACGCCTGGCTCGCCTATGCACCTGTTAAGAATAACCCTGAAGATGCTGCCAAGGTATGCTTTGAATATTTGAATCATTGAGTTCCCATTTCTTCCAAGCAAGCACACTCTTTTCATGTTCATTATTTTTTGTAGGAAAAGGTGAAAATTCATCCCTTAAATATGCATGCTTATACGATGAATGTTTTCCTTTTTGGTAGAAGAATAGTCTTTCTACTTCTAAATCGGGTTTTAACTCTCCATTTTCTATATCTTCATATACTAGTGCACATAATTGACTCTTAATTGCTGTGTGAGAGGTGAGAACTACTCATGGACTATTTTATTAATCATTCAAAAAACATCATAATAAATTTTTTGATCCATAATATATCCACAATTTAAAAAATGAAATTAACATTTTACTATGTCTCGACACGTGTGCCTGATTATAGAGTGTGGTTACATGTGGGTTTGCTTAGGTCCGTATGAGCCACACAACAAACTCTTTGTTGATGAAATTGAGTGATCATTAGCTTCTGCACAAATCGAGGTTCATCTTGTTTATAATCTTTTTCACAGGTGTCTTATTTTCTTGGCTTTCTTTGGATGAAAAAAAAATAGCAAACTAAAGAAAATGAAATTCAGTATTTGATTATACCTTTATTTTGTTTGCAATGCAACCATCAACACACACACACACACAAACATATATATATATATATATATGACACTGTTGTTACTGTTACTGCGAGTGATGTGATGCTGACACATTCAAAACTCATAGAAAACAATACTGGTGGACTGTTACCTACAAAGGACAGTGTTCAGGTTGATAATCAGGAGAACCTCGCAGCTCCCCCTCTTCAGGAAGTATTCGGTGTAGAGGCAACCCATACTTCACAGATATTAGAACCTATTGTGGGTACTATGGTCGGTAATTCTTCTGTTTCAGCTCTATCCCCTCGTCAGACTGATTCTTCGGATGAAGAATGACAGGTTTACACTTCCAGGAAGAAAAGAAGAAGAAGAATGAAAGAAGAATGAAGATCTACTTGAGCTCAAGAGTCTTATGGATGATACTTTGGTTACGTCGCGTAATAGTACGCACCTTACCAATCTACTAGTTGGATCCCTTCCTAGAACTAGAGCCAGAGGCAGAACAAGATTAGGATGACCCTCATTTTTTCAGCACCCAGGTGGTTTTGGGCTTTTTTATTCTTATATTTACTCCTTTTTAACTCTTTTGGGTATGTTGTATCGTGTGGGTTGAGTGTCTATTTTTAGGCCCACCCATACAACCTATCTGTATATTTTCTCTTTAATATATTAGGCCTTGGGTTTTTTTTAATTATATATATATATAAATATATATATATATAATCTCCTTCTCATCTCTGCTAGAGTTTCGTTGAGGGTGAAACCCTGGTTTTTTTATTCGCCCTTACGAAGTTCTCGTATTCGACAACGATTATGAAGGACTTTGCGCTCTTCAATCTCCATCGTGATCATCCTCTTCTCTTTTGCGCCCAACGACGAAGGGCCTGGGCGTCTTCTTGCTGTGGTTTCGTGTCTGTCGAGCTACGGTGCGGTTTCTTCTTCCTGCTGCGGTTTTTTCTGCAGATTGGCATTTTCTGCGGGACTGCGTCCGTGCGAGCGTCCGTGCGCGTCTCTACAGGATTCCGCGACGTTTGTTATCCACGGCGTCAGTCATCTGCGTTTTCTGCGCAACATCGCTCCAGACCTTTTCTGTCCTAATTGCACCTCTTCTCCCTTACTGTGACTTGCTGCGATGGAGCTTCCTCCTTCGGTTGAGCCCGCTAATACCTCTTTTGCCCACGTTGTGGATAATCCTCAGGGGGAGACGGCGGTTGACGTCCCCTCAAGTTATAAGGAGAATCATGATAGTACAGGTGATTACCCTTTTATTAAGAATGTAACCAGAAAGAGTAGGAAGACAGCACTATTTTTCTCTGAATCAGAATTTCAACCTTGATTGACAAATTCAAATTTGCTCATTGGGAAATTTCAGTAGGGACACCCAGCTATGGAATTTATCAGTAAAAGTTTTGATGACCTCTAATTAGCAAGAAAGTGGAAAGTAGGGCTCGTGAATGGGAGACGACATGTTTTGATTTAGTTAGTCGTGCCTGAAGACTACACTCCTATTTGCTCCAAAAAATATCTTAATATTGCTGGTAAACCAATTTGCTGGTAAACTGCTGGTAAACCAATGAAGCTACTCAAGTAGTCTCCTGATTTTAACCCCAATCATGAACCTCCACTGTAACGGTATGGTTTAGTCTACCTGGTCTCAAGCTGCATTTTTTTCATCATCATGTTCTCTACTCTATAGCTGTCATACTTGGGGACCCTATGAAGCTAGATCTACCCACTTTCAACCTTACCAGACCTTCTGTGGCTAGAATACTTTGTGGAAAGAGATATTACTTTACCTGATGTTACTGAAGTCTGGTTGGGCACAATGCATAATGGATATTGAAAACAAATCGTCATGGAGCATAGACCTTATTGTTCCCATTGTAAGATGCTGGGGCATACTCTTGATAAATGTCATAAGTTTCACCCTAATTTGAAATCTATAGATCGAGTGAATAAGGATGGTTCTAAGGATATATCTGTACCACCTATAGAGAAAGCTACCATAGGATAGATTTTGATGCCTGATTCTCTTGCCCCTGTCGTTACTGTTACTGCGAGTGATGTGATGCTGACACCTTCAAATCTCATAGAAAACAATATTGATGGATTATTACCTACAAATGATAGTGTTCAGACTGATAATCAAGAGAGTCTCGTAGTTCCACTTCTTCAGGAAGTATTCAATGTAGAGGCAACTCATACTTCACATATACTAGAACCTATTGTGGTACTATGGTTGGTATTCCTTTTGTTTCAGCTCTATCATACGCCATCAAACTGATTCTTCGGATGATGAATGATAGGTTTATTCCAGGAGGAAGAAGAAGAATGGAGGCCGACTCCAACTCGAGAACATATTGGATGATACATTGGTTACTATTGGCAATGGCAATCATCTTACCAACTTTTTAGCTTGCTCCTTCCCTGAAACTAGAGGCAGAGGCAAGACCAAATTGGGTCGCTCTCTAACCACATGATTATGTATTTTGGCACTGTTAGACTTTTATTTTAGTATCTAATGTATTTTTTATTTTTTCAAATATAGAAAAGCCCAAGGGATAAATTTATTAAAATAGGAAAGATACATAAATGTTGTATGAGAGGGCCCATAGAGGCACCCTACCCATACGATACAACACACACAATCGCCCCAAAAGAGAAAAGATACAGGGAAACCCAAAAAAAAAAGGAAAGATTCCAAAATCACAAAAAAGTAGTTAGGGACGAGCCAGTTTAGTCCTGCCTCTGCCTCTAATCTAGCGCGAGATCCAGATAACAAATTGTTGAGTGCCAAGTCATTTCCCGAAGTAACCAAAGTATCATCCATTAGGTTCTAAAGCTGAAGTTTGCCTCCAATCTTCTTCCTCCTTGAATAGACCTGTCATTCCTCTTCAGAAGACTGGCTCATATGATCATCATGTTGGTAAACAGAACGCCGGGCAAATAAAAGCTGATGAGCACCAGATGAAGGATTGTCAACCAACTGTTGCAACGACTATTCAAGTGTGTGTGAAGCATGAAATGTCTCCTCTTCACCTAATGCTTCCTGCAACTGAGGAGGGTTTGAAAGTGTAGGTTGCTCAGCAGGGCTATCCAACTTCTCATCGATCACAGAAATAGTATTTTCAGGGGGAGGATCCACAGGGGCGATTAAATCAGACACCATAAACTGTTCTGTGGTAGTTTTCTTTTCAGATGGAACAGATATATCCAAAGCAGTGGGGTCAGATCCATTCTTATTCACTTGATCTTTAGATTTCAAATTATGGTGAAGCTTATAGCATTTATCAAGATTGTGCCCAAACATCATACAATGCGAACAATAAGAAGGTCTATGCTCCATAACAATTTGTTGTCAATATTCATTGTGAATTGTGCCCAACCAGACTTCAGTAACATCAGGTAAAGTAATATCTTTTTCAACAAGTATTTTGGCCACAGAAGGTCTGGTTAGGTTAAAAGTGGGTAGATATAGCTTCAAAGGGTCCCCAAGTATAACACCAATAGAGTAAAGAATCTGATGATGAAAAAAGTGCACCTTGAGATTAGGTAGACTAAACCATACCGGTATAGTAGGAGATTCGCACTTGGGGTCAAAATCAGGAGACCACTTGAGTAGCTTCATTGGTTTACCGGCAATGTTGAGATATTTTTTGAAAAAAATCTCAGTGTAGTCTTCATGCACGGTTACTTAAATTAATACGTGTCTCCTATCTATGAGCTATACTTTCCACTTTCCTACTAATTTGAGATCATCAAAACTTTTCCTGATAACATCCATAGGTGAATGTCCCCACTGAAATTTTTCAATAAGAGCGAACTTGAATTTATCAGTAAGAGATGACATTTCTAGCTCAAAGAAAAAAAGTGTTGTTTTCCCACTTTTCCTTCTTGCAATATTGATAAAGTGACAATCACTTTCCCGTTGCTCCTTATAACTTGAGGGGAAGACAACCGTCTGTCTCCCTCTGAGAATTACCCACCACGTGGGCAAAGGAAACTTTGTGAGGTTCAACCGTAGACGAAGGAAGCTCTATCACAGCAAGAGAAGTACTGCCAAAGTCGGGTAGCAGCAAAAATAGCGAGCTGAAAGGTCGGGGCAAAAAACTCTAGTTGTCGAAGCCGCAAAACAGTCGCAGCTCCACGAGGCAGGTCGCGGAACAGTTGCAGCGAACGAGAGCGAGAGGAACCACGATGAGAGTGGCTCGCAGCTCGACGACCTAATGTGGCTCGCAGCTCGACGTCCACGCAGAAGCGACGAGATGAGATGACGAAGACGAGACAGTCAGTCGCAGCTCGACGCGGCTTGCAGCTCGACGTCCACAGAAGCAGTGAGACGTGACGATGTCGTAGGAGAAGTCGACGATTGCAGGAGAGATTGACGAACCCAAAATTCGTCGTCGAGTGCGAGA